TAGAAAATAAAACAAAACAGTATATCAATGGTGTAGATGTGAAGGACGAGATGATAGAAGAGAAGGCAAGGAGGTAACAAGTAGACAATGAAAGAGGTATCCATGAAGAACGAAGCAGACAGGCGTGCTTCGTTTGGAACAAGGGGGCTCCGTGCATCGGAGAAAACAACAAAAAGGAACAGGGGGTGCGTGAAGGTACACGCAACAAAGAACGAAAAACACTCACTCTTGTACCGGGAAACAGAATCCAGGAGAGCAAAACAGCACATCGTGCGCTTGGCAGGGAGGGGAGTGAACACAAACAAGGACGAAAGTAACAAAAACACACCAACAATTCAAAGATGTTTGTGACGTTTCGGAGGGCGTGGAAAGGCTGGTTGAAGAAGCAGAACACAAAAATAGGCAAGAGGAAAGGTTAAGGTTTGTGTTTTGTACCGTGCGTTGTGGAATGCTTGACTAGCAGGGGTATGCCCAACAAAAGCACAGAAGACAGAAGAACAGCGTGTGATGTTACCTGGGGGTCGAATGGACTTACTTGCCTGTCTGCACTTCAGTGATCGCCCCTCACCATCGGCAAGGTTAGTCAGAAAAGGGCACAAGAGCACCAAGTGCGACCACAGGGAGGGCCACCCTTTGTTCCATGCCACGATGAAACGACATGCCAAACCGAGCTAGGTAACACCGGAAAACACGGGCGTGACAAGAGCAACCACACACTCAACGGAGGTAGCTGGCTGGGTTTGACCCCTCCAACACCTGCAACACCACCGTCACTGGCAGGTACTACAACACCAACACCAATACCACCGCCCAATAAACCAGACAAGTCACCTTTGGCACAGCGAAGCCACTTCTTCGAACAGGGCCTTGCCGGTGTTTCCCACCGGGAGTGTCTGCAGCTCGTTCGAGCTCCTGTTCGACGTCTGCCCATCGAGCCAGCAGGGACAGGGGACACAATCAACCAGGAAACAACGTACCAGTAAATGATGGTACATGAGCACTTGTGCAGCTGCGTTTTCACGCAGCACTGCGGTCATATTAGTCTTTGTTTCTTTCAGTGGTTTATCGTGTTACCTGCGTGTTGAGTCAGTCTCTCCAACCGAAGCGATGGGTTTGTGTATCTTTAGAATCGCCAAGAACAACATTGTACAATTTTCCACCTTCTTTGGCCGGCTCAGGTACAACCCCTCCAACTACATCCGGAGCCATCTAGAGACGGGAATGACACAAAGACAAGAGGTTTTTGCCGAACACCGTTGGGAAGGTCTGCGAGATCGCCAAATAATCCTCGAAGGTAAACTTGGGGCAAAGGCTGAATCGGCTTCAACTCGGCGAATGCATNCATACACGACTATGAGTACACCCCCCCTCGGTCCTGTGGGAACAATGCTCCGTCCTCTCGAGGACGCGTGGTCAATGGTCTAACCGCTAAGGCATGCAAAACATAAGAGTACCCGCCCCCCCTGGGTAAATTCGTGTGGTCCGCACAAGACAGACAAGCGCAGAGCGCCAGCCACTAAAGGCGGGTGCATGGCTATGAAACTCTCACACGAAATTGAACATCCAACCATGCATAATGACGTAGCCTTGCATCAAAGGGCCGACCTTAACCGAGGAACAATAGGCTGACTTATCTGTGGAAGAGATGGATTTGTTGTGATATTTGTACGAAAAAAAAGATACCTTGACGTCATCACGTACATACGTCATCCCACCTTGCACAGCACGAACACCCCCCTGGCGGGATCCTTGAGGAAAGGGTCGACGGTGTCCACGCCCATGTACGCGTTCAATGTAATGGCGTGGGCGCCGAGCTCCTGCACCAACAGTTGGACGGAGGGGGGGGGTGGGGCGCACTCTCATGATTTGCATGCCTTAGCAGTTAGACCATTGGCCACGCGTCCTCGACAGGAGGGCGGAGCATTGTTCCCACAGGACCGATCACCGATGGCCCATTGCTCCTTCGTTAATCGGAGGGGGAGGGGGAGGGGGGTAAGAGAGGCGTGAAAGAAATCTTCCCCCGGCACCATAAGCAGCGATTCAAAAAGACAGAGAAATGCACCACATGGGACGAGAAAACAAACTATCAGGTTGACCTGATTACTGGGGTCCTTTCGAGTCGAGGCAGCTTCTCAACAGCGGAAGTGCGAGCTATCTTTCCTTCGCTGCACCATGAAACAACGAGCCCTCCTGCTCTGCAAAACTTTCCTTCCAGTCGGTTTTCTCCTCCCACTCACTGTCAAGACTTCAACACATCCCCTTCGACGGTGGTAATACCTCGAATGCTTGGTCTTTTGAAAGGATAGTAGTTCTACGAGTGTATATATGTCGGCTTAAATAGGCCCTAAATACGCCCAGTATCCAGCCGCTTTCCTGTTTCCCACGTTCTGTACGAAAAGACTTGAACCCATCCTCTCCCCTTCGACTACTGCCATGGTTTTATCTCGGGTACATATTACTTCTTTCATCGGATGTATACTTTCTACTACAAGAATGGATTTTTCAGGAGACGTTATCGTTACGTACGTATGTGGAATTTCTATCTTCCGTGGGTGTGGTTTCGTACGTCACGTACGGTACTCACTCTAACATATTGCTCCCTATGCCTAGACGAACTACAATAGACTTGAATTGAGGCCGGGGCTACCCCCGAGATATTTTTGAAGTAGTAAACTTTCAGGAGGGCTGCCAACACCCGGAGTCCCCTTGCGCGAGATCCCACCTCGAAGGCACCAGAGGCGTACGCGGCGGCCGTCGTCCCGATGTCCCCCCTCTTGGCGTCGAGCAGGACCGGGATGCCCTCCGGCACGGCAGCGATAACCTCCTTCAAAGTGGCCACGCCTTCCGCCTGATGCGATGTTGAACAAACGACGGGAACATGCATAAGAGCCATGCAACTGATTCCTCCGGAGTGGGCTTGTGAGAACAGAAGGGGGGATACAAGATGAAAATCTCAAGCAGGCAGAAGGACCAACCTACGGCTGGCTGCCAGCTGCGGTGTGACGAATACCAAACTCAAGGGTTCACACTGCTGACGGGTTTTTGACTCCAACCAGCCAAGCCAGCCTCAACAAACTAACCAGAAAAACTAACAAATCTGTGCACAGTCTTACGTATGCATGGCATATTTTAAAGGTTGAGCGGCGGCACAGCCGTAAGCCACAGCAGCAGCAACAGCAGCTGTACGGGCCGCGATGAGGGCAGGGGCTGTCTCGCACGAAGCGCTGTGGCAGGATGCAACTTTCGCCATGAGGCAAACAAGATGAAACATGGCAGAATTCCACGCCGTAACGCCTTCATTCCATCTATCGCACAACTTCAGAAACAATGTACTGGAGCATACGCATTTTCCAACGCGCACGTGCGCGTCAAACACGCCACAAACATGACGTCAACACCAGTCATGCCTCACGAAGACACCGGTATCAAGCAACGACGGGGCTGCGGCGCAGAACGGACCGTCACATACTTCGCCTGTACATTGTATGCTGTTCTTATGTAGAAGAAGCAGCAACAATTATTTCCAAACAGCTGTGCACATAACCACTGAGAGCCTGTGACGGAACTAAGTCTGTGACGTAACTACTGTAGTAGATTACCCCGGGTGTGTTTAATCTATGTTGATTTGCTGTCGCTGTTTCTTCAGCATGCATGTTTCTTCCACAAGAAACAGCATCCAAGTAGACTACCACGGGTGTGTTATATCTATTTTGAAAAGTAGGGCGACGGAGTTGTAAGCGCTTGCCATATCGAAATGTTGCGTACAGCTACAGCTAGCCGCCGGTCAAGCGAACCCGCTTGTGGGTTCCGGAACAGGTTGCTTCCGGAGCTGTGATTCTTCGTTAAATTGCTACTGTACAAGGTATTCAGTGGCTGTGGGCATACGTTCGGTGCCGTCTTGTCGACATTCCGCAGTCTTAAAATTTACTACCATCACAGCGGGGGAAGACACACACCTCTCCTGGCGCGGGCATATCCACGGACCACGCGCGGAACATCTGCCAAGGACACGTCGAGGGAGCGAGAGGACTGCTGGGACGGCTCCACGAGAACCCACACCATCTGTGGGAGACTTCTCCCACAGATGGCGTACATTCTCATGGAAACGGTGGAAGTAGTCCTCTCGCTCCCTCGGCTTGTCCTCGTCCGATGTTCGGCGCGCGGTCCGTGGATAGGCCCGCGCGCCTGTGAGGTATGCCCCCAAGGTGAGTACACAACATCACAGCAAGAAGACTCATTACAGCAGTAACCGTTCGAGATGTTAGTATACGTTCCCCCCAGTGGAAGAGATGTGTTGTGTGAGGTATTTACGGCAGTGTGTGGGGAAGGTCCTGTTACAGATGGCACGAGGCCATCTCGCTTCAAGAACAATGACTGTTTACCGCACTTGCGCTCTCGCATGTACTTCTATGCAAACTCATGTCCTCGGTGTGGCCACTACAGTGGCGGCTACGATTTAAGGGAGGGGTGTGCTTCACCCAGAAGACCTCTCTTGAACACGACCTTCTCTCAATACGGTTTAAGAGAGGTTTTATCTTAAACCGATTATGTGTCTTTTAACAGGGTCGAACATGATGGAAGTGATGAAAAGTTTTTTTTTTCCCTCAATATTTTCGTGCGTTACAGGGCCCTCACCAAGCGTGATCCCTCCTTCTTGTTGTGTACGAAGCACAACCGATGTAACTATTACGTGGCTCCAAGGTGTACTCCGGCCTCATCTCGACAAACAGCAGTGCATATCATAGGATAGCTGCCAGCAAAACACAGAGACGTGGGCATCACACACACAAAACACTCAAGACCAGTGACTCAAGTACCTACAGCAGTACAACAGTGACTCAAGTACACGCTGCCCATAAAAAAAAAAAAACAGACGTCCATGAACATCGCCTGTGGGCAGCTTCTGCAACTTAACATGAAGTCTGCCATGCATGTTTGCTTCGGTTTCTTTGACCTAGCCTCGCTCATCCAGGCTAACTTCGTCTTGCGAAAATGGTAAGCTACCCCGGCCATGCTGCATATTTCTTCGAGGTCTCCGAATTGCCTAGATACGTCAGCGTACGATGGCGGACGAGGAGAGACCAGGGGCTGCGTACACTGTCCCTCGTCTCCCGCCGAAGAGTCGGCCTCGTCGTCGTCCGAGTCTATGTTCAGTTGGTCCATGTTCAGGTGGGCAAGCGACTCCTCACAAAGATCGTCCTTCAGATCTGCAATAATCGCCTCCGCTACACCCTCTTTATCCTCTACACGCAACCATGTCTGCACGGCTTTCGTGGAAGCCCGGGTTGGCGTTGCGCCAGGTGCCAACCCCAGACCCTTGAGCGCCTCGCCAAGGTCTTCATCGACAGTGGTCTTCTTCGCCTCAAGAGAAAGACGCTGCACCAAGTCCGTCAACTCTTCAAGACTCTCCTTCTTGTTGCGCATATTCTTTCCCACGTCCTCGTCGAGGTCCGCGTGCACCGCAGAAGGAAGCATGTCACATTTCCTCCAGCACCTTGGAAACGATGAATAGTCAAAGTACGCGGGAAGGAGAGAGAAACGTGCACGGCGAGAAAAGAAAAAAACAGAACGAGCCGAACGAAAAAAAAGCATTTCATCATTTTTTCCATTCAAACAAAACTTGCAAGATGATGGCGTCAGTTGAAAATTTCGTCAACGTGCAATATACGTACGTGGTAACGGTATGTGTCTAGAGGGGGGAAATTATACATACAGCAGTTATTGAATAATGTCGTGAACACCACCACACGGACACACCTCTTGATTGTCTCCGGCAAAACTTCCTTCCACGCCTCGAGGCCTAGCTCAGCTGCGTCCAGGATGTGAGGCTGCGCTCCTTCCGCGAGCCCCATGCAGCCCCGAATCACCTTGCGTTCCTTCGCCTGCTCCCGTAGCTGCGCCGCCGACGTCATCGTGTCGACGCGAATCCCCGGCAGCTTCGTCCTGTACCGCACTTTCCAGGCTGCGATGATCCCGGCATCCATGGGCTGGTGCTTGCTCGTGCAGTTGGGTGGCAGCTCAAGAATCTTCACCTGCTCCTTGGGGTCTCGAGGTCGGCGTGGCTGCTGTGGTTGTCCATGATGAGAAGAACCTTCTCGCTGGTGACGGAGCGCACGTGTGGCAGGAACACTTGCGACCACCACAGCTTGAACACTCGAGCGTCCGACCTCGCGTTCTTCTGGCTGAAGTACTTGATGGGTGAGCCCCGGATCTTGAAGCACCGGGGCTCCTTGGCTGTGCCGATCGAAGACGGCGGCACCTTACACCCGCTGGCGCTCGTAGCCATGTAGGCGGTGACTCGATCCTTCGCTCTCATACCTTTCACGCCTCGCACGGTCTTCTTGAGCTCTGATGGTGCGAGGTATGTAGCCTTGGGCAGGATCCTGTAGCACAGCCCGGTTTCGTCGGCGTTGTAGACGCATTCTGGGGCATACTGAGCGCACGTCTCGCGGATTACTCTGAGGCGATCGGCGATGGCTTCGTCGTCGACGCTGCCTGCTTCCCCGTGAAGTGTACGGGAGTGCAGGTTGTTGGGCTTGACGAACTTCTTTACCTCTTTACCCACCCCTCGGACGCGTTGAAGCCGCTGTACTGCACACGCTCGGCGTCCGTAGATGCTTCGTTCTCGAGAGCACGACGAGCTTTGCGCCCAAATGCCTGGATCGCGTCCCGGTCGACAGGCATTCTCAGTGCCCTCGCGTGCACCAACATTTCCATGACTGCTTGCTCCACCTGGAGAAGAAAAGAGGACATATATTATTCACGGATTTAGTAGCTGTAGTATGTGCACTGCTGTTACTGCTCTGCTGTATGTCATTTCACCCTACAGCAAATACTGCACGGCATGATACAGCGTACCTACGCTACACTAGCCGGTTGCTGAACAAAAACGGCCACAAACATACTCGGAATTAAACTACTGCTGCTGTACAGCAGTAATGTACACAAGAACTGTTAATAAACTGCTGTACACGACCCCTAGACTACTTGTACAAGAAAAATTCAAAATTCAAAAACAAAATCAAAATACATTCGGAATTACTGCTGTACTCTGCTGTGTACTGCTGTACAGCGAACATAGCTGAGCACCCACCTTCGCAAACTCAGCCCTCTTCGTAGACTTGGCGCCGGGCATGGAGACTGCTGCCTGTTGTCTGATGTCTGCTTCCTTAGCTCTCCACCCGTACAAGGTGCTCACCCGATCCACATATCCTTCGCGATTGCTACGCCGCTCATGCTCTTCAAAAGGTCGAGCGCCCGAACCTTGTCTTCGAGCGTCGGTCGTTTGCGGTTGTCGGCGCCACGAACTTTCCTACGTGCGGTGTTGCCAACGGGTTTCAAGCTGCCCAGTGCACCCGCTCGCTTCTCCTTCCCCGTTGCCCGCCCGTCCGGGCAGGGGCGCTTCGAAGATGCAGCCCCAGCAGTCGAGTCTGTGCTTGATTCCTTGCGGTTGCTCGAGTTGACACATCCGTGGCAAACACGGTGCATCTCGTTGTCGCCAGGCGGGTCATGCACACCGCACAGTCCATGAAGGTAGCCTCCGCAGACACGGCATAGGTGGTTCGTAAACAGTGGGGGGCTGGGTATGTGGTCCGGCGTTGCCAGGCAGCGGGAACCCGCGGCGCAAGGCATCCGTGGGAGCTGTGTGTCTCGCTAGCAATGATGGCCTACTGCTGTACAGCTGCTTGAGCTGCTGCAGTGGGGGGCAGCTGGTGGGCTATAGGGGATTGGGGGTGGGGGGGCAGGTTCGGTTTACGAGAGGTTTACGAGAGGTTTAAGAGATTCGGGGTTCGGTTCAAGAGAGGGGCGTGTCTAGCAATTTTGACCTTTAAATCGGCAATTCTCTGAACCTGAGCTCTCTTAAACCGTAGCCCCCACTGTACTGCTGTATCTATGGCGTAGACTAGGGACTACCTTACTGCTGTTGCCAGTCCGCCCACGGCGTGTATGTTCATTTGAAGACATTTATACGTCGTATGTAGATGTCGACATATATACTATGCATACAGCAGTACAGTATTTGCATGCATGCAAGCCATCCCAAGCACCACATACGCTGTAGATGAGGATGCACGTCGCCGGATGCTACTAAAATACTGTACCAGATGTACTTGCTCATGTTCGTCACGCTCGACATGTTATGTGGTCTGCACACCCGCAAGTTGGCATCACTTAAATTGTGCAGCAACCTTCGTCTTCCATGACCTACTAGAGAGAGAGAGAGAGAGAGAGAGAGAGAGAGAGAGAGAGCAAAAGCGAGAGAGACAAGGAGAGGCGAGCCGGCTGTGCACGTATGCTCTCGCCCCCCTGGAGGCGAGGTGTAACCCCACGTCGAAGTACGGACGGAGCACGAAAAACATGAAATACCGCCGCGCACACGGCACACGGCACCACGTACACGCGCCCCCTTTTCGCACAAACAAACAAAACAAGTGCTTGGTGTCGATAAAGCCCTGGCTAGATTTCTGCTTCCTATCGCTCACTCACCCCAAAGGCTTCGAAAAAGGCAGCGTTTGGCTTATAGCCCACGGCAACCGTCGAGGTGGCGGCGATGATCCTGAGGCAGAAAGCCTTCGCCCCCGCGGCGTTGTTGTTGCCCTCGCCTAGCTCCTCGGCATGGGGATCCAGACCGACCATAAGCAGGGAGTCCACCTCCTCCACGCGGCTTGCGACCTTATCGAAGAAGCCATGTCCGGACTGCGACGCAAAGCTAGCCATTTTGGCCCAAGACTGGTTGCTTGTGCCTTGGCCTGCAGAGTGCGACAAACGACGCAACCTCGCGGGGGCACGCAGAGCGCAGAATTTAGTAGTACCCCTTTTCTTGGGGCGTCCCTAGATTTACAACCCACGCGCATGGATTGTCAGAGCGAACCACATTCCAAACATCCACCCGGGTTGTTGTTTCTCACAATAGCTCTATAGTCCACAAAAAATGGGGAGCCCGTGGTCTCAAAACCCGGCACACACGACGCCGCGGGGAAACAAAACAAAAATAGGGTACAAACCACTCGTAAAAAGAATAAACAAAATGATAGAAAGAAAAGAACAGGAGGTATCGCACCGACCGTTCGAGAAAAGAGCCCTCGGAAACCGATCAAAATATATGAGACACACAAGACAGCTACCAAACTGATTTGTTGAGCCTGTTACCCACAGGGGAGATGTCCCTATATGCTGTCTGGGAAATCGTAGACACACAGGTAGTTTTCTCTGACGCTATGATTCCATTGTTAATCTGTCTCTGACTCTTTTCTATGATAAGAGATGGACTCGTAGGTCATATTAAGAAAATAAAAAAAAAAACCCGGAAAACCGCCCAGTGCGCCCCCGAAGTGGTTCTCCTCAAATTTCAAAATTATGTCAAAGCCTGGATCTAACGCCCGTAGTCCTCGGAAGCAGAGCCGTGCTCTGAAGCCAGCAGCTACAGCCCAACCAGGCCATTTTGGTAGATATCACCCGAAGACCACCCTCACATGCCGGGTGCCCAGGAGACACGAGGCCGCAAGAGGACACGACACACAGCGCTCATACGTGGGTGTTCGGACCGTGCGCCGTGTGTGTCTCCTCTCCCGTGTGTCTATCCGTGTGATGCTGCTGTGCGAAATTGCTGCTCTGTTGCTGTTGTGTCGCGTTGCTGCTGCTGCGAGCTGGTAGGAGAACTGGTAAAAAAGGAGGTGGCTGGCTGCTGCTGGCTGCTGATGGCTGCAGCTCGCCCTTGCTGCTGTAGTTATTTGATCATAGCCTGAAAAAACACGGACCTGGACATGATCCATCCCGGCCAGAACAGGCGAAGAAAAGAGAGCAAGAAAAGAAGAAATCGAACAACAGGACACGAACGCTATACCGCAGCAACAAAATAGACATGCAAATATGAACACCAAACAATTGGCTCGGGACGACAACATCACGGACGGCAATCGGCACAAAAACGCGGAGGCGAATAAGAAACNGCATGCCTTAGCGGTTAGACCATTGACCACGCGTCCTCGAGAGGACGGAGCATTGTTCCCACAGGACCGATCACCGATGGTCAATCGTTCCTTGCTACTTCGCCAAAGTTGGCTCAAAAATGTCTTCCCTAGTCTGTCTATCCTACCGATATCTCTTCCCGCCTTTTCGACCCACCTCCTATGCCCCACTACAGCTACCGTCCTTTCCTCTCTATTGCATGCGTCAAACATCTCCCTGTACGTCCCATCTATTTTTCCCAGCTCAGTCGCGTACACTTTCCTCTCCTTCTTGTACAACGGACATTCCGCGACTACATGAACACGGTCTTCGCATTCGAAGCCGCAATCACATTTGAACT